CAACCAGAGGGAGAAGCTCCGAGATTACATCTTCAACCACAAACAGGAAGTAGAAAGGAAACTAGAAGTGGACAGGGACCATGAACACTCAAAGACGGCGAGCAACCCACTTCCTACAGCACGGCTCTGCCTTCAAAAGATTCTGTAATCTCCCTAAGCAATAGTACCACCAAGGACCAAGTGTTCAAACACATGACCCTCTAATGGACAATTCTCACTCAACCCACCACATCATCTTTCCACCCACCCACTTCTTCTTTATCCATCCTCTTGGCCATTTATTTATTCATTCCTTTATTCCTTCATTCAACTTGGTGAGTGTCTATGATGGGTCAGACACTGTCCAAGGTAGTGAAGGCATTGGAGAATGGAAGAGAGTAGCTTCTCATGGCCATCCTCACTGACTGAACCCAGACTGCTTCTACCCAGGCCTCACTCGGACTCTCCCTTTCTCCAAGCATCTCCTCTGTCTTAGTTACTATTCTGTTGCTATGGTGAAACACTATGTCCAAGGCAACTTTTAAAAGGAAACCATTTAATTCTGGCTTTGCTTATAGTTTCATTATGGTGGGGAGCATGGCAGCAGACAGGCATGAAGGGTGCTGGCTGAGTGACTGAGAGTGACATCTACGAGTTGTAGGCAGAGAGAGATAGAGACTGAGCCTGAATCAGACCTTTGAAAGCTCAAAGCCCACCCTCAGAGACATAGCTCATCCAACAAGGCCACACCCACTCCTAATTCTTCTCAATTCCACTAACTGGGAACCAAGCTCAACTTGTGATCCAATGGAAACCATTCTCAATCAAACCCACACACCCTCTTCCCTTCATCTCTTTGTACCTCAGATCCTGCCATGCCCCTGAAATAAGCTCACGAGTTCGGAAGCCTCCCTTGACGTCTTTCTCAGTACTCGCTGCACCCTAGGCTTGTTTGCACAGTCCCAAGATGGTCCTCATCAATCTTCTTGTCAGAGATCTCAATGTTAACTTTTTAAACTTAAAAAAAATTTACTTACATCTTCTGTATGAGTGTACACATGCATGTCATGGTACACATGTGTAGATCAGAGGATAACTTGGGAGTGTCTGTAGACATAAATTTTGGCAGCCTACTTTAATAAATGTTCAACCTCCCCTCTAGCCCCCCAGCCACCAGAGATAGTGGAAGAGAAACGTTATTAGAATACAGGTGAAGTGGGCCTGTTTAGAAATAGTTCTTTGGAGGCAAACCCAATCTTTGCTGTCAGGATATCAGTACTTGAGTCCAGTAGCAAACACCAAATATGAATCAGCAGCTATAGCCCAGTCCTCTCGGCACGAACCAGCAGCCGAAGTTCAATCCTTAAGAAAGTGCAAGCCTCACCAACTGTCCTGGGGCCTCGGAAGCAGCAAGAATCCGCAGGAATTTCACGAGCAGTTCTTTGGTGAGTTTCTCTCTAAGGCATCACCACAAGTGGAGCTCAGCAGCACAATGTAAGGTGAACCAGTACATGTGTGTCGTTAGTGAAGACTAGTGAGGTGGAGCAAACCAGACCGATGCTCGTGCTCCCGCCGTCTGTGGGCTCAGATCTGTACTCCTCCATCATGCAGCCTTTCACGTGTCTGCTCTAGCAAAGCATCCTTTACCTGTGTTCGCCAGGAGAACACCATTTGATATAACTGACTTTCCAAAGAAAACAGAAATTTCCACTTCAGGTGTCAGTCTTCTTCTACCATGTGAGTGCTAGGGATCAAACTCAGAACATCAGGCTTGGTGGCAAGCCTCCTTCACCCACTAGGCCATCTTGACTGCCTGGAAAAAATTGATGAAGAACTGTATTACTTACCTTTTTTCTGTTAAGTCACACAGGATGGCCAGCGCATTTTGTTTCCTGGTTTCCGTTTTTCACATCTAGTGACAACAACACACAAGGCCCTCAAATATCCTAGATACGCATAAAGTCAAGGCTCCAGATTCAGACCCGAATGCAGGGCTTTTATGGCTTTTTTTTTTAATGCCCATGTTTTAAGTAAGATACAGACTTCTATACAGTTTAAAGCTATTGACCTTCAGTTAGAGCAGTCTCTCAGCCAGCTCATTTAAACTTAGCCTAACTTTCCCACCATCCCTCTCTCCCTACAAGAGTCCTCATTCACTATCTGCTTACAGCTCCATTCTCTCCTTTCTGCTTCCTCCAGTGTCTTCACACCTCTGTCTCTCTTCAAGTCTCCCCTGTCATCGTAGTCTTCCTCTCCTCCTCCTCACCCTTCTTCTTCCTCTCTCTCTCTCTCTCTCTCTCTCTCTCTCTCTCTTTCTCTGCCTGGAAGTCCCATCACCCATTCTTCTAGCCCTAGGTCTGGCCATCACCTCTTTATTATACAAAAGCCCTACTTCAGCCTGAACCAACCAGCAGCAGGACAACACCCGATCATCTCTTAGGGTTGCCTTTGGGCAATAAAGACTCCCTGACCCTCATCTTTTGGGCGGGTGATGAATAATAAGCAACTGCATATAGAAAACTGGTGATGGGCATAGAAATGACAATACCAAAATCCTGCCCACAATTAGCTTTTTGTCTGCACAGAATCAACAATTGAAGATACTGGGGCACACCTTCAAACAATGTAAAGAAAAGTTCACCCCAACAAGATCCAAAGTGACTTTCAAGTGACCTCAGCCATTTCCCATCTATGTGAGGCGGGTAGGGTCCTTGCCCTCTAAGACCCTACCTCACTTCCCTTCTCTCACTTGTCAAAGGCAGCTAAGGATCAAATGAACAAGTGTAAGTACTAGTCATGGCAGCACCAAACACTAACTGATGGAAAGCATCTTAGCTCTACCGCCGAGCCCCTCACTTGGCAATTCTAGGCAGGCCTCTACCACTGATTGAATTCCACCCCTAGCCCCTCACCTGAGGAGCAGTAGACAGGTGCTCTACTACTGAGCTCATGGGTAGCTCTAGACAGGCAGAACTCAGGATAATTTAATCTTCAAAAATAATGATGCAATATCTGATTTTTTTAAAGTATCATTTTTAAACCCATGCGAAAACTCCATCAGTGAAGTGCTTACTGAGCAGACATGTTATGAGTTTGATCCCAGAACAGCATAAAAAGCCAGGTGTGGTGGTGGGCACCCACTTGAATCTCAGCTCTGGGAAGCAGGAGCAGCTAGATGCACAGAGCTCACAGGCCAGCCAAAAAACCAAGAGAGATGTCACCCTGACACCTGTACATCACATGTGCTTGCATTCACACACACATACATGAACACATGTGTACCAATTATCATCATCTTTGGGGGCGTAGTGGCACCGGCCGGCAGTGCTAGCACTCAAAGAGCTGAGGCAGGAGGATTACTAGTTCTCATCTGGTTTGGGCTTCATAGTAAAACCTAGTGTCCAAATTTGTTTGTTTGTTAGTTAACTAAAAAATCGTCCTCATTTTTAAAGAGAGACGATAAGGCAGTTAGGAATTAAAACCCAGCGGAAGTTGCACAGTGTGCTGAGCTGGCATTTGAACACACATGCATTTTCCCGAGTTGCACAGATGGCTAGTTCTTGCTGCAGCTGCCTCACAGTATCTGAGCTGCCTGAGACTCACAGTGTTTCTTTGAAGATGTGTCATGTGAAGCTGGCAAGCCCATCTGTGTACACATTTCTGAGTGTGTGTCACTGCCTGGTCAGGCTGAGCTGCATGGCAGGGATGGAGGTGATGGGCACTAAGGCCATTCGCACATTTGATGAGCAGGCACCTATGCAGGCTTCCACAGACTCCTGTGAGAGGATGCTAGAAGCATAAGTGTGGGATCCTGGATGGAGCCAGGAATCTTTTTGGAGGCTTCTGACATATAATAACTGCAAATTGCACGCATAGGTTACAAGAGGGAGGGTAATTTAGTTAAAAGGGTTGTTTTGAATCCAGGGTCTCAGATATGCTCAGCAAACATTAGTGCACTAGGCTACTAGCCCAGGCACCTTACTGGGAGATTCTACTAGACAAGGGCTCCACTTCTCAGCAACGTCCCCAGCTCCTCACTGGAGGAGTCTAGACAGGCGCTCTACTGCTGCGCTATATTCCCAGCTCTCTATTTAGTTTTGGACAGGGTCTCGCTCATCTGCGGAGGCTGGCCTTGAACTCATCTATAGCCCAGGCTGACCTGGAACTTGCTATCCTCTTCCCTCACCATCCAGAGAGACTGGGATGAGAGACCTCTGCCATCAGGCCTTGGAGGCTGTGTTTATTTTGTATAACTGATTAGAGGAAAGGGGAGGACAATAGCAACTGAGGGAGACTGGGACTTCCAAGCCACCCCTCTGGGTTGCTTTTGTGTAGATCAGGACCCCATCGGAGGAATTAAATCTCCATGGGCCTCAATTGTTCTGTGAAATGGGAATGCCTTGACTGCATTCATCGTTATGCCAAAGTGAAGATTCCATGAGAAGACGTTTTCCAAGCTCTTAACTCATTACGTTGGTAATGGTGAGTGGCAATTTTCATTAGCTGCTATTAATACGGTAAAACCGGATGCTCTGTGCCCGTAAGTAGTCAGTCGTTAAGCACCTACTTGGTGCCAGTCCTTGATGCACATTGACTGGTTTCTCAAACTACGTCCCTTAGGAGATAATTTTATTGTATTTTGCTGGACATCAGGATTTGGGATGCTAAGAGTCTCAGGGGACTAGGGCAGGATTCAAATCCAGTGCCTGTGTCTCTACCTAAAACCTGAGACCTACTGTGGCCAGCTTTCAGTCCTGCCTGCTCAGCTGTAAACTCTGAGGTCTTGCTCCCTGGAGGAAGGAGTTTTTGTGGCCTGGGACCTCTGAATCCTAACCTTCTAGGTCCCTCAGGTGGCCTTTCACTGGGGTGAAATTGCAACCGTAGTCCAGGAAGGTGCACACTAGGGCCATACTGATTTTGGCTTTTGGGTTGCATGAGCTGGCGGGGGAGTTGGGGGAAGGGTTTGGGAGGAGCCGAGGAGCTGCGACAGGGGTGGGGAGGAGCCAAGCGGGCACCGCGGCAGCGGGCGGGCCGGCGCGCGCGCGCGCTCGGGGCTGCGGCAGCCAGGGCTCCGGTGAGTCCGCCCCTCCCCCTCCCCCGCCCCCGCCCCAGCCTCATCCCAAGGGGGCGGCCCCAAGTGGGGGCGCGGAGGTCGGTGCAAAGAGGGGCGCATCTGGAGTTGGGAAGCTGAGTCTGCAGTGCCAGCTGGACGCCCCAGGGGAGGGACATGTGGCCCTGGAAAAATGGGGATCTTGATTCCAATACACCTGGGTGCACTTCACCCTCTCCCCACCCATCCCCAGAGTATGGGGATTAGTGACCCACCTCGTGACCTCTAAGTGACTAGAGCCACGTGACCTCTGGAGGTCTTGGACTCCATTCCCCTCTCCTGCAGCGTCTTGGGACCCTGACATTTTAACCCTTCCAGCACCCCTCCCCAAAAAAATCCCATCTTTGCAGGCAGGAGACGCATTGAGGACTTCAACTCCCAGCAGTCCTCGCAGCCCTGGTGCGATAAAGCTGCAGTAGCACTAGCACCAAGACCAGCTGGGAGTTGTAGTCCCTAAGCTTTTAACTCGCTTCTGGGGGCACGGAGGTGGGAGGGGGCGGCTGGACCTCATCGGGGTCATCTGGGGTCGCTCAGTTACTTCCAGTGGGGCAAGATGCAAAGCTTGGGCTGAATTTTTCTCTCCAGGTTTGGGTCCCTAGATCAGTCATCAGCCCCCCTTCTTGCCACCTGGCAAATGTGGGGACCGGTCCGCAGCGGCTAGGCTCGTCCACTCTGCAACCCCTATGGGCTACCGCCCCCCGCCGCCTCGGCTCCCACCCAGGACAAGGCAGAGGTAAGCATAGGTGAGTCTGACCCTGGTCGAATGGCTGTCAGTCTTCCTCAGCAGCCCCCCTTCTACTGACTGTCTGGCCCTCGTTCTTTCCCTCGGGGGAGGGGGTGCTTTTCCCACCCATGTCTAATGTCTAGCCCAAACCTTGTGTCACTCCCTCCTCTCCCACCTCCACCTCTCTCTCCTGTTCTTTCTATCTCTCTCTTTTTTTTTTCCTGACCATGCATCTGTCTGTTTCCAACTCTCTTCTCTCGCCTCGTATCTGAGGTCTCCAGCCATTGTCTGGCTGTCCAACCTAGAATCCAGCATCCTCTTTCTCTCTCTTCTGCTGTACCTGTCTCTCTTTGGGAGGTATTCCTGCCCACACCCCTGCCTTCCTTGCTTCACTTCTCTCTGTGTGTGCAGCATGTCTCAGATGTAATGAAGTACACGCTGTTCCCCAGCCTCTCTGTCCTGAACCTCTGTACTCAGCATTCTGTGTCTATCTTTCCCTGGCTACCGGATTTCACCTGGTCCTCTCTCTTATCTCCATCTGTCCTCTTAGCTCCCTTTCTCTCAACTTGGGGTTTCTGCCCCACACCTGACTCTCCTTCCTCTGACCCTCCAGCAGCTTTCCACCCTTAGTCTCCCACCAATGATGTTCCAACTGCCCAAAGGGCTTTTACCTGCCACAGTCAGGCCCACTAAGGATGGCTACCTCCAACCTACCACACTGAGTCTCAGAGTACCTGCCCTGACTTTCAATCTGTGGCCCCCTGGGGGCACATTCTGTTAGTCTGCAAGTGCCCTGCCTTTTGGTGTGATTCTGTTGATCTGTTTGTTCCTTAACCGCTCTCATTGGACAGTGACAAGAAGTGACTGTAACGTCTGTCGTTTTCATCCTCTAATCCTGGCCCCGAGCCACCGCCCTCTGGCCTTTGGCCCCTCACCAGACCTTCTCCCTCCCTCTCCCTGTACCTGTTCCTGTCCCCGTCTGCATCTCTGCCCACTCCACTCTTAAGTGTAGGATCACGTGGCCACTATGTCTGGGGACTACGAAGATGACCTCTGTCGGCGGGCCCTCATCCTGGTCTCAGACCTCTGTGCACGGGTCCGAGATGCTGATACCAATGACAGGTGTCAAGAGTTCAACGAACTGCGAATCAGAGGATATCCCCGGGGTCCGGATGCAGGTCAGAACCCCAGCTGTCCCAACTAGCCACAGCCTTCTACCCAACTGCACAACAGCAAAGACTTGGGAAGGTCAGAGCAGAGCCACTCAGCTTCCCACTCCTTTATGGCTAGCCCCATGGAGAGCCCTGCCTCTGTCTTTGCTGCTGCTTTGTCTCCAAACCACTGAACTGGAAGAAATATCTGTGTGCTATGGACTAGCATCCATTCCCTGGCTTTGGAGTTTTGTCCTGTAGACCTACCCTTTTCTAATTACAGCCATGAAGTATCCCCGTCAGAAATCATGATTTTTTTTTTTTGAGGTAAAGATAAAGTTGAGAATCTGGTAAGGCATTATGGAGGCCTGGCTGGTCTCACACTTAGAATAACCCTCCTGCCTCAGTCTCTCAGGTGGTGGGATTATGGACATGAACCACCATACCTAGCTCTAGAAGAATTAATTACACTAAAAAGCTACAGACTAAACCAGCCAAAGGCAGGGTGTAGGTTGTGGGGCAGAATCCAGAAGACAGAAGGTCTGACTATCCAAGTGTTCCCTTCCAGTAAGGTCACAGGCTGTCTTTAATTCTTGTATTATGTTGGTATGTGACTCATTACCCACCAGAGAAGCTCCCCCAACCCTTGGTGCTTAGGGTTTTGGTTGGAGTTTGGGCGTGTGATACATTTATTAGTTTTTATGTCACTGTGGCCAAATTCATGATGGAAGCAAAGGAGGGAAGATTTAGCTCACAGGTTCAGAGGTGTAACTCTATCACAGGAAGAAGGCAGTGGGGTTGAGCAATGCAGTCACATCATGGCCGACCAGGAAACAGGATTCTGGGGATGCTGGTTCTACCTGGCTTTCCTATTTTATTGCATTTGGGCCTCCAGGGCATAGGGCTGTATTCAGGGTGGGTCTTCCCCCTCCATGAGTTCTCTCTGGAAGTGCCTTTGCATACATAGACATGTGTGTGCATGCATTGGTGTGCATGTATTTGGAAGTTAGATAACTCTTTAGGAGCTGTTCGCTATTTTATTTTATTTTATTTTATTTTATTTTATTTTATTTTATTTTATGTGTCTATATATTTTGACTGCATGTATATCTGTGCACCACATGTCTACTGGTGCCCACAGAGGCCAAAAGAGGCTGCCTGATCTCCTGGAACTAGAGTTACAGATGGCTGTGAGCCACCATGTAGGTGCTAGGAATTAAATCCAGGTCCTCCCCAAGAGTAGCAAGTGCTCTTGACTGCCAGCACATGCCTTTCAATTTTTTGAGACAGGGTCTCTCTCATTGGCCTGAAACTCATCAAGTAAGATTGGCTGCATGGCCATGAGCCCAGAGATCTGCTTGTCTCTGTCTCTGTGGGCACTGGGATTACACATGTGTACCACCATGCCTGGCTATTTTCATGTGGGTTCAGGAGACCAAATTCAGGTCCTTTTGCTTGCAGGACAAATATTTTACTGACTAAGCCATCTCCCCAGCCCCTTGTTTTACTTTTTGATATAAGGTCTCACTCTGTAACCCAGACTGACCTGGAACTCATTATGTATCCCAGATTGGCCTTAAACTCACAGCAATCTTCCTAGCTTCGCCCCCAGGTACTAAAATGACAGACATGAGCCCCCACACCTAACTCCTAGGTAGTTCTAAATCTAGTCGGCTTGACAACGAGGAGCACACATCACAAGTAGGCGGGGTGGACTGTCTGTGTGGCAGCCCTGAATCTTTAGATCTTCAAGCAATAGGCTTTGGGCCCAATGTCATTTAGCATTGTCCTTGACTGCCTAGAATGGCCCAAGACAACAGGGAGGACATCCCAAGAGCTTGGAGCTCTCAGATCTGTGCCTGTTCTGACAGGTTCCCACCTAGGGGTTGGTCAGGCTTGGAGAGAGTGTATCTTTTGCTCTAGCTCACAGCTGCTCTGGCCTTGCACTCTCTGAGCTGTGCAGACAGGCATGGGGAACAGGAGAGGCTTGAAAGATCCAGAGTTCTCAGATGGGGATCTTGTACTGATTAGAAGCATCTGGCCAGTTTGCTGCATGATTCCCATGCCCTGGTCCCTCCCAGGGCTGCTAAAATCCTGGACTCTGGTTTCAGTAGCATCTAGGGCTCTCACAGGAAGGGTGGCTACATAGTCAGGAGCACCTCAAGGGAGGTGGCAAGAGGAAGCTCAGAGTCCTTGCAGCAATACCTGGCACAAGTTTCCAAGACTTTCCTTTTCCCCACAGCCTCCATCTCCACAGCTGGGACATGAGATCTATTACATTTAGGTCACACAGTAGCATGAAGATTAATGTCACACCCTGCTTTTGCTTCACCATCTGACCTAGCACTAAGAGATGTTTCCTTCTTTCTCACTGTTACCTGAACACAGCAGTTATGGTTAGATGTCTCAGCTGGCAATGGCTGAGTTACCTGGCCCCACCCAACATGGTTCTCCATATACAAAGATCCAGGACTCATTCCTGTTCTAACTCCAATCCTAAGAGTCACCTCCAAAATAAATTCTCACAGCCTAGAGAGTTACATCCATGAAACCCTTCTCCTGGTATCGTTAGGAAAGAAGCCATAAGCCATAAAACCCCACTCCTAGTACTAATTACTGAAAGAGCCATAAAACATTGGTTGTAAGAAATGGGCTGTGCTGGGCTTTCGAAGTAAAACAGGGCTGCATGTTACTGGCATTTGGAAGGTACCAGTTAGCGTGTTATATCATGTAACCACAGTATTATACTCATTATCTGAATAAGGAAGTCTATGTGGGGCCATATTCACCAAAAAGTGTGAAAATAAGAATGTAGGTTTTGAAGTGTGACACCTGTGGTGTATGGGGTGTGTGTGTGTAGAGGAGTTTGTGCATGTGTGCCCTGCACACAAGGGAGGCCAGAGGACAACCACAGATGCTATTTCTCAGGCACCGTCCACTTTGTTTTTTGAAACAGACTCACTGTTCACTAAGTAAGCTAGGCTGACTGGCCATATCTCATGTCTTTGGACCTCCATTTCCTGTTGTCAGAATGAGACTGATATGTTATTAATCTCCCAGGGTACCCTGAGGTACCAGTTAAATTGTCACATCTCAACAAATGTTTGCTATTGTATTCTTCTACCTGTCATTTGCCTTCATTGCCGTCAACTGCAACAAAGAACAGAGTTGATTCATCCCACTTGCCAAACACAGTGTCAGCCTCGTAGAAGTTAAGGTGAATTCCCAAGGACAGATAGCAAAACTTTCCCTGAATTGTCTCTGAGCTTTTGGGGGTCTTATTCTTCAGAAATGTCCTGTGACAGAGAAGCAACATGAGCTAGAGAGACCAAAACCTGGATGTAGTCTTCAGGACCTACAGAATGTGACCCCACGGGCTCTGTAAAACAACCATTACAAAGCAGTGCAACCATAGCAGAAGCATAGAGTTCAAACTCAGTAATACTGAGAAAGTAGTCAGGGCAGCACTGACCTGACCCCTCATGACCCTTGACCTCTCCCTTCACTCTTTCCAGACATTTCCGTGAGCCTGCTGTCAGTCATCGTGACATTCTGTGGCATCGTACTCTTGGGTGTCTCTCTCTTCGTGTCCTGGAAGTTGTGTTGGGTGCCCTGGAGGGACAAAGGAGGCTCAGCAGTGGGTGGTGGCCCCCTGCGCAAAGACTTAGCCCCTGGGGTTGGGCTGGCAGGCCTGGTAGGAGGTGGTGGGCACCATCTGGGAGCCAGCCTAGGTGGCCATCCCCTGCTGGGTGGCCCACATCATCATGCACACACAGCCCACCATCCACCATTTGCCGAGCTGCTGGAACCAGGTGGCCTTGGGGGCTCTGAGCCTCCAGAACCTTCCTACCTGGACATGGACTCATATCCAGAGGCTGCTGTGGCCTCTGTGGTAGCTGCTGGGGTCAAACCAAGCCAGACATCCCCTGAGCTGCCTTCTGAGGGTGGAACAGGCTCTGGACTGCTCCTGCTGCCTCCTAGTGGTGGGGGCTTACCCAGTGCCCAGTCCCATCAGCAGGTCACAAGTTTAGCGCCCACCACCAGGTGAGAAAGGGTATTGGGCTTGGGGCTTCAGTATGAAACTCGCTTCTCTATCTCCTTCTTATCTGTGGCTCTTCTGATACCGGGGACAGGACAGGAAATGGTATGCTGACTCCTGGATGCTAGGGAGGATGAGATGGAGGCCTAGAATTCGAGACTTAAGAGGAAGGGAACAGGGTCTTGAATTCTTTGTCAGGCTACAGAAGAGTAGGCTGGAGACAAGGATCCATGGTTAGAAGCTAGTGTAGCAGTATGTGTGCTATCCCAGCCATTTCACAGGCTAAGACAGGAAGATCTAATGTTTGAGGCTGGTCTGGGTAACTTAGTGAATCCCTATCTTGAAATAAAAAATAAAAATCAGGATAGAGGTGTAGCTCAGTGGGAGAGCCCCTGCCTAGAATCCCCCAGTGAGGAATGAGAGGATGTGGCTGAGTTGTAGAACCCTTCCCTCAGTGTGGTGCCAGGGTGTGGTTATGCAGAAGAACTCTGGCCTGGCTTGCAGAAAGCCCTAGGTTCAGTCTCAGTACTGGAGTGGGGATGGTTTCTGAGGCGTAGGCAATTATTGGTCCTGTGCAGTGTAAGCTTATGATTAGTAATTTGGACCTCATTCTTCCTCATTCTGTGTGTGTAAGCTTAGGGTCTGGTGGAGTTGGGCCTCAGATACATGCTGTGTCCAGGCCTCCATCCTCAGGGCTCTGACAGTCTAAGGGGTACACGTTCGGGAGACAGGAAAGCATCTCTGGAGACTGCCAAAGCTTGGAGGAAGCTGAGAATTTCCTGAAGGTGGAGGAATCTTGATAGACACTCGAATGGTAGGGAAGCTAGGACTTGGTGCAGGTAAGTATCTGTACACATTTCAGGCAGGAGAAAGCAAGTTCGTGGTGGAGAAAGCCAGGAGACAGGTAGGCAGGAGATCAAATCCGGACAAAGCCTGGTACATGAAGCTGTGGACACTAAGAAGTGGCAGGTGGAAAGGCTGTGTCCTGAGGACACTGGGGAGCCACAGAGGGGCTGGGAGCCAAGGAGGAGAGGTGCCAACTCTTGAGCCATCTAAAGAGGGAGAAATGCGGCCCAGGCAGGGAGAGGACAGGCTGAGCCCAAAACCAGCCATTAGTGATGGGCTAGGGAGATAGGGGGCCAGGCCCAAGACGACTTTGAGGTATCAGGATAAACAGGACATCTGGCCACCAACTAGAGTCCTGATGACCTTGAGGTCTGGCTGGGGCTAGTTCAGAAATACAGATAACACCCCTGCTGCAAATGGGGAAGTTGAGGCTAAGGAAGCACAGGTGTCTTATCCAAGGTCAAATAACTAGTCAAGGGCAGGGTTGTAGGCACAAAGCTCTGAATCAGATGGAATCAGATGCCACTCAGGTTGGAACCTCACTTTGGTCTTCCCTGACACATAGGTACCCAGCCCTGCCTCGGCCCCTCACCCAGCAGACCCTGACCACCCAAGCAGACCCGAGCAGTGAGGAGCGACCACCTGCACTCCCCTTACCCCTCCCGGGTGGAGAGGAAAAAGCCAAGCTCATCGGTCAGATCAAGCCAGAGCTGTACCAGGGCACCGGACCTGGTGGCCGGCGAGGCGGGGGCTCTGGGGAGGCAGGGGCACCCTGTGGCCGCATCAGTTTTGCCCTCCGGTACCTCTATGGTTCTGACCAGCTCGTGGTGCGGATCCTACAGGCCCTGGACCTCCCAGCAAAGGACTCCAATGGGTTCTCAGACCCCTATGTCAAGATCTACCTATTGCCTGATCGAAAAAAGAAGTTCCAGACCAAGGTCAGGGCAAGGAGGCAGATTTCAATGTGTTTGTGTGTGTATGTTCCACCAGGTTTGAGAGAGGGAGCTAGGGAGGACCCCTGCATCTGAGGGAAGAGGGCTGAGGTCTGTATCAAGTCTGAGGGAGGAGTCTGGGGAAGACCCCTGAGTCAGGAGAAGGAGCTGGGATCTGGACTCCTGGGTTTAGGGGAGGAATTCTGGAGTCTGCATCCCTGGGTCTGAAGGAGGAAGGCAGGGGCCTGAAATTGGGTCTGAGAAAAAAGGATTTGGAGGAGGTTGGGTCTTAGGGAGGATGGCTGGGGTCTGAATCTCTGGACCTGAAAGAGAAGAGCTAGGGAGGACCGCCATGTCTTCAGGAGGAGGGCAGAGTATAGGTCTGGGACTGTGAGGAAAGGGCTGAAAGCTGTATCCTGAGTCTGAAAGAGGAGGCTTGGGAGGTCCCCTGGGTCTGAGGGAGGAGGCTGGATCTGGACACTCGGGGCAGATATGGGATAAATGGCCTACTGGTTCTGGGAGCAAGGCCATTGGACATCATTTCTGTCTCTGCTTCCATCCCCCAGGTGCACAGGAAGACATTGAACCCCGTCTTCAACGAGACGTTTCAGTTCTCGGTGCCTCTGGCTGAGCTGGCGCAGCGCAAGCTCCACTTCAGCGTCTACGACTTCGACCGCTTCTCGCGGCATGATCTCATCGGCCAGGTGGTTTTGGACAACCTGCTGGAGCTGGCTGAACAACCCCCTGACCGCCCACTCTGGAGGGACATCCTGGAGGGTGGCTCGGTCAGTGGCTCCATCCACAATGGGCCCTGACACCAGCTCTCCCCTCTGCACCCTCAGGTTCCCATGTCACTCTCCCTCCTCACCCTGGGACTTTCCAGGTAGTCCCTGGAAAGTCCTCTTCCGTAAGGAGCTCTTCGTGGCCAGCTTGTTTGTCCCTCGGTCTCCAGGACCTAGGACTCACATTCACCCTGCTGCCACCTGAGGTGCCCACACGAGAGCCTTGCTCTGGCTCCCCCTGTCTCTTACCCAGCCCTTTTTCTTACCTGAGGCCTTCGCTCACCCTCTCATCCATCCATTCCTCCACCAGAGTGGAGAAGCAGAGACCCCAAGAGAAAGGGAGAAGAGACAGAGAGGCCTAGAGAAGCAAGTGCCAAGGTGGGGGCAGACGCTCAGGGGGGACAGGGTTGGCGGCTGGAGACCACAGAGAAGAGACAGATTGAGCCTCCTGGCACAGCAAGATTGCTGGAGAGCACAGGAGACACACAAAGACCAGGAGGAAGCTTCCAGGGAGACTTCTTCCTGGACACTCTGGAGTGAAGGAGTGGTCAGAGTCCGGTGGGACCCATGCCCCAGGGCCTCCAGCCTCTGACACACACTAATCTAGACCCTGCTCACAGCTCACTGCTGTCAAGGCCTTTGCCCAGGCTTTTCTGTCTGCTCATGAAACCTTTCCCCCTCAGCCTGGTTTCTTCCCTGAGACGTCATTGTCTTATCTCACGAGCTCCTGTGAGCCCTGAAGTCCCGTATGCCCCCCTAACTCTGGACCCTGGCACTCTGACGACTTATACCTGGCATGACTGCTCCCCTTCTCGCTAGGTCTCTACCTCAGTCCTGACTACTTCCCTCTATTTTGGCCTTTGTCTCTCCTGCCCACTAGATCAGCGCCTCACTCTCCCTGTCTATCCCCCCACCTCCTGTCTGCCTATTCCTCTGGGTTTCTGTCTCTCTCTGATCTCTATCCATTTCTTTCTGTCTCTGCCTCTGTCCACACTCTCTCAGTTTCCGTCTCTCTCTTGACAATTCTCTTTCTCTCTTTCCCTGGTCTCTGGGCCCCCACCGTCTTCTCCACAGAACAAAACAGGCTTTGATGGTGAACATCTGTGGCAGGGAAGCTTTGGGGCCTTGGCCAAGAGTCAGACCATTCAGTACATGGGAACCTAGCAGTGGTGTGAAGGGAAGGCGGAATAGAGGGAACTGCAGGGAAAGATGGTCAGGCTGCCCTCTGTTCCCACTGCAGGAAAAGGCAGATCTTGGGGAGCTCAACTTCTCACTCTGCTACCTCCCCACGGCTGGGCGCCTCACCGTGACTATCATCAAAGCCTCTAACCTCAAAGCAATGGACCTCACCGGTTTCTCAGGTGTGTCTGGGTGGAGGAAGAAGATTAGGGTCTGAGAGAGGAGGGCTAAGGCCTGAGCCCCTGGGCCTGAGGGAGAAGGCCTCTGCTCAGTCCCCTGGCTTCTCTGTACAGACCCCTATGTGAAGGCCTCTCTGATCAGTGAGGGGCGGCGTCTGAAGAAACGGAAGACTTCCATTAAGAAGAACACGCTGAACCCCACATACAACGAGGCCCTGGTGTTCGACGTGGCTCCCGAGAGTGTGGAGAATGTGGGTCTCAGCATCGCAGTGGTAGACTATGACTGGTGAGAGGCACCCATGAGGTGGGACAAGGCGCGGTGGGACAAGGTGGCTGGGTGCCTCCCCTGACCTTTCCAGTAATCGCTCTCCCAATCCCCAGCATCGGCCACAATGAAGTGATTGGGGTGTGCCGCGTGGGTCCAGAGGCTGCCGACCCACATGGTAGAGAGCACTGGGCAGAGATGCTGGCTAACCCTCGCAAGCCTGTGGAACACTGGCACCAGCTAGTGGAGGTGAGTGGAGGCCACCTCTGCCATGCATGGGCACCAGGAGTCCAGTGAAGCCCAAGCTGCCTGAGTCTGACGCTGTGTGAGCTAGGAGCCAGTCACTCTACCTGTCTTCTGTTTCCTTTACCTGTTTTCCGGCCCGTGAATAGCAGCGATGGTGAGGGCCACTGTGACGAGTCAGTTAGTTGAGTGTTCAGCAGCGGCCAGCTGCTGCTCTTCCCCCCCCCCCCCCGATGCTAAACACAAAATACAGGAAGAAACTGGGTGATAAACCGTTCCCCCCACCCCAGAGTGAGGTGTGAACATTAGTAGATTGTGGTGTAAAGCTGAGAACGATTTTTTGAATGAATAAGAAAATATCAGGCAGGAGGGCATGGCTCAGCAACAGAGCACTTGCGTGTCATGTGCACCACACCACCACAACAACACTTACAACAGCAACACATATTCAAAAGACAACATAACGAAATGTCACAAGGTAGTGGCCGTTGCAAAGACCACTGTGTGTTGGTTTCTTGCCTAGGACCTGTGGTCTGAGTCTTTTGAGGTAGAAGGCCTTCCATACAGGCCCTGGGAGAGCATTCTGGAAGACAGGGTAGGCATTAGGAGGGGCTTGGAAGGCGGTTCAGGTGAGCAAGATGAGGAAGGGCCAAAGGTCAGAGGCCTGAGCTGCTGTGGCCACTTTTAGAAAAGAATGTAATTTATGTGTAATTTGCCTGCTTATGGGTCTGCAAACCGTTTGCGCACAGTACCTGCCAAAGTCAGAAGAACAGGGTGTCGGATCCCCTGGAATGAGACTTACAGATGGATGTCAGCTGCCGTGTGCGTGCTGGGAACAGAACCTAGATTCTCTGGAAGAGCAGCTGGTGCTCTTAACCCTTAACCTCTCCAACCCCGACCAGTGGCCATTTTTGATTTAGAAGCTGTGCAACCACTTCTCAGCCTTGCCAAGCTGTTTATCATAGCCTCTTGGGGCTGGAGAGACGGCTTAGTCAGTACCTGCAGTGTAAGTGTGAGGGCTGTGTTTAAATCTCTAGAATGAAGGTTAAAAGTCAGGTCCAGAGTCACACCCTAAAACCCAGCGGTGAGGAGACAGAGACAGGAGAAACTCTGGGTCTCACTGGCCAGACAGCGTAGGCTAATTGATGAGCCCCAGATCCTGGTGAAAGACTTGGTCTCAAAACACGAAGTGGGGCTAGAGAGATGGCACAGTGAGTAAGGACTTTTGCTTTGCAAGGAAGAGGACCTGAGCCTTCATCCCCAGCACCCACGGCTGCCATGCCTGTCTGAGCCTGCATCCCCAGCACCCACGGCTGCCATGCCTGTAACCACAGTGTCTAGGGGAAGGGACCGCCAAGTCCTGGAGCTCACATGCAGCCAGCCTAGCTGAAGTGGTGAGGTTCTGGTTCAGGGAGAGACTCTGTTTCAAGGCAATGAGGGAGAGAGCAGCACTAGAGGACCCACATCCTGCTCTGGCCTCCGTCTGCGCACAAGCATGTATACACACAGATGTGGGCACCTGCACACACATATACACATAACACATCAAGTACACACATGCACAGTCCACTCGTGTATAACCCACACACAAGCTACACATGTATACACTATGTACATACACGTGTATATACCACACACACACATACACACTCATCCTTGGGTTCACAGAAACTGTCAACGGTGACCATTTTCTCTGCAAAGACATCTACTTTGAAAATATTGACAATTTTGCTTCCACTGAAGCCAAGAAAAGTCAAATTACTGTAAGTTCTGTTTAGAATAATGTAGATTTTAGTACCTGAATCTTTGTTTCTTGATAGTTTTCTATTACTTTGGTGTTCTAAGGAAAATTCACCTTGAAACACCATATAAACCTGGTGAATATCTCACACCTGTAAGACCTTTTGGGAGGTTGACACAGCGAGTCTGCCTTGAGTTTTAAGCTAGCCTGGACTACAGAGTGAGTTCCAAGTCAGACTTGGCTATGGAATGAGTGAGTCTGAGTCTGAGGCTAACCCTTCATCCAAGTCTGAGCCTGACTCTGAGGTTAACCCTAACCCTGAGTCTAAGGCTAACCCTAACCATGAGGCTGAGGCTAACCCCAAGACAATTTCTTGCCTCTGCTGAGACTTGCATCCCCCACACACATCCACAGGCCCCTTCTCTAGCAGAATGAACAGCCAGGCCCAAAGCTCAGGGTTGAGATCCTGAGAGATGAGACCCTCCTATGGGGACAGAAACTGTGTCTTCCTGGGCATTCACTGTTGCAATTGCACTGTTGTCACTAATTCTCTGGCAACTTCCAGTGAGCCACACTGCCACCACTAGGTGACACTGCAGGATGGAGACCTTCACTGGAGAGCGGGGCTTCAGCCCAAGGCGCTGAGTGTGGCCACAGCCTGATAGCCCTGCCCAAAAGCTCTCTGTGGCTCCCTGGACCTCCTGAGCCCCGGACCTGCCTGCCGTATGGCTCCTTTCCAGGACCCTATCTTCCTTGCGATTTTAGATAGTTATCTTTTGTGCCTCAGTTTCCCCACTGGTAGAATGGATGGTGATACCATTTCCCACCCCCCTGAGAACTAAGACAGCATGCGGAAGAGTGGGGCAGAAGTGTCCTGCTGGGTAAGGAGGTTATTCTCTTTCACCTCCAACTCCAGGAGAAGACGCTGAGCAGCTTCACAAAGGGCGGCAAAGGATTGTCAGAGAAAGAGAATTCAGAGTGAGGGTAAGATCCGGAGGAGGGGGAAACCTCTGAGATCTGCCTGAGGGAGGACTTCTAGACTGAAGGAGGACCACTGGGCCTGGACACCTGGATCTGGGGGAGGTGGGGGGCGGCTGGGTTTGAATTCCTGGGTCTGAAGGAAGGGGCCTGGGTATGGATCCCTGGGTCTGAGGGAGGGGGACTGGGCCTGACAGACAGGGGCTGGGCCTGAGGGAGAGGGATAGGTCTGAGTGAGGGGCTGGGTATGGATATCTAAGAATGAGGGAGAAGCACTGGGCCTGGTCCCCTGAGCCTAAGGGAGGGGGACTGGGCCTGAGGGAGGGGGGCTGGGCCTTAGGGAGGGGGGCTGGGCCTGAGGGAAAGAGGCTAGGCTCCCTCCACAGTGCTGATACAGCTGCAGTGGTTACAGCCTACCCTCTCAGGTCTCTCCTCTTCAATTTTTAGGGCTGGTCGAGGCCTGGGATTGAACCAGGTGCCCTCAGGACCCATCCCTTCCTGCCCGGACTGTGAACTCATCTCCTCGAAGCCATAATGTCCGAGCTGCTGGTGCGGGGCTGCCTGGACCTGCCCCTCCTTATCCTGGAGGTGTGAGGCTAGGAGGCAGCAGGACCAGCTCCCTGTTTCAGGGTGGGAGGTCCTCGGCCTCCATTGTCTGTCTTCTTATCCCCAGAGTTCCCCCTAGAGGCAAGGGGCCATGCATGTCTGGGGACCCCTGCCCCACCCCTCTGTCTGTCTGTCTGTCCCGTTGCTGTTGTCTAAGTCTTGCTGTTCTGGCCTGTGTCCTCACTGTGAATGTCGACAGATCAATCCTTGATGTCCCCTGAACAGACACCCCCTCCAGCGTCCACCCCTTCTGTCCCTCCATCTGCGTCTGGCCGATTCCCTCTCCCCACTGCTGCTATCATCACCAGAAATAAACACACTCTGTGGGTCTCATTCCACCTGGTGCTCCTGTCTCCCTGGCACCAGGAGGTGTGCTAGATCATAAGAGTGTGTATGACAAGGCCACTAAGTGACCTCTCCAAGCCATAGCCGCTAAATGGTATTTACAGATGCAAACCAAAACAGAATTTCCAACTGTTCACCTCCTAGAAAAATTGACAAACATCTCTTATGTGCTTCTAAAAAACCTTCCAAAGACAGACCATCCTAGGTAACAGGCAGCTTGGAGGCTGGCTTGGCCTCCTCTCCTGAGTACAGGCTATCTACCACAGGACCAGGTGGCCTGCTCTTAAGCAATGACATCCAAGCAAGCGCCTCAGATAGAGGCCTCCCTTACGCAGCTACCTTGTCCTTAAGAATTCTACGACTTCTGCAACTGCAGAAACTAGCTGTAATTAACTCCAGGTTGCAAAGCATTCTGGGAAAGTGACCTCTTGTAATTTGGGTTCTCCTCCATGAGGAGTTTTTCAGCAGCAAGGAAGCATGAGCAGGGGGAGAGTTGGGAGAGGGGCGAGTGGGAGCGGACATTAATGGGACTCAACGAGGACCTGCTAAAACTGGCCTGAGAGGTGACAATTTCTGAGAAAAATGAAGTAAGCCCATGCCTCCTCAGGTTCCCTCATATTTGGGCAAAAGCTCTGATTGATTCTGCCTAGGCTTTGGATGGCCACCTTAAGTCAATCACTTGACAGTTCTAATAAGCATGCTGTAGGACTCTACCCATCTCCTTCTCCCCTCACCATTGGTCCAGACACTCTGGGGACCTCATCCCTCATTTGTCCCTATGGCAACGCATCTCGGATTTGTAATTCTTTAGTCGGGAGCACAGGGGCCTTTGATGAATGGTCCCATAAGAATTGCGCAGCAGCGGGGAGGGGCGGGCCTCCAGATGTCTGACACAGCTCACCACTGACTCCTCGGAATCCATTCACAACTCCTTCTCACAGATAGCATTTCCACAAAGTCTCCCAGTGTGTAAACCAGAACCCTACACAGCTGCTACTCTTCTGTTCTGATGGCTAGAACTTCAAAATGGTGGGCTGAGCACACAGGCAGGACCCAAAGTCAGAAGTCAAGATGTGTTCGGTTGCTGATGGAGAATCTGATCCATGTTTGTCCTTTGGCAACTGATGGAGGTGGGCAAGTCTGGCCTTGCATAGCTAACATATGCACCCTGGTCTAGTTGCATCCTCACAGGACTGTCCTGTCTCCCATCTCTGTTTTGTTTGAGATTTCATGTAGATCAGGCTGCCTTGACTGCACCACGTAGCTGAGGATGACCTTGAACCCCTGGCCTCAACCTTCTAAATGCTGGGTGACAAGTGTGCACCACCATCCCTGGTTTTTGTGAAGTTGGAATGGAACCCAGGGCTTCTTGCATGCTGGGCAAGGCCTCCTATTGGCCTCTACCCCTAGCCTCTCTGCTTCTGTTACAAGAACATCTGCTATTGGATGTGGGGCCAGACTAAAACCAAGATGATCGTATTTGGGGATCCCTAACTCTCCTCTCCCCTCCCTTCCTGTCTTCTCCTCCTTTCCCTTCCCCTCCCCCCTCCCCTTCCTTTCCTCTCCCCCCACTTTCCCTTCTCTCTCTCCCAGGCTGACTTTGAACTCATGGCAGTTCTCCTTCCTCAGCCTCCCAAGTGCTAAGATCATAGCCATGAGCTCAGGCCAGCTTCACTCTAAGAGATGAGCCAGTCTTCCCTGATCTGCAAATACACAGCATTTGCCCACCTAGTCATCTCGTACTTTGTTATGTTGTACTTCCGCATCTGGAGACTGAACTCGGGGCTCTGTGAGCTACATGCATGCTAACCAAGCCCTCTGTATTGCTCCACATCCTCAGAGACACTCAGTCATCATTGACAGAGGCATTTCCTCCCACCTTTTGGCTTCTGTGAATAATGTTGCCGTAAACCCAGGTGCCCAAGAATCTCTGAAAAACTGGAGTCAGACATGATGATGCACACTGTATCCTAGCACTCAGGGAGAGGCTGAGACAAGAAGAGCAGGAATGTAAGGCCACCCTGGGCTACACAAGAAGCTGAAGCCAGCCTGGGGCACATGAGACTCTGACTCAAGACAAAACAAAAAACCTGCACAGTTCATTCATTTTTATATATATTTATAATGTATAAACCAAGCCTCATTAAAGTTGTCTGAAAACAAACAAACTTAAGGGACTAGAGAGGAGACTCACTGTTTAAAAGTGCTCACCGCTCTTTCAGAGATTTGAATTTGGTTTCCAGCATCTATGTCAGGCTGCTCAAAACTACCTGGAACATCAGCTCCAAGGAATCTGATGCCCTCTTCTGGCCTCTGTGAGCACTGCATTCATATGGATGTACTTGTGCACATGCATGCACATGCACACACACGCATGTACACACACACACAAATACAAAAAAAATTCCAGAAAAGATCTCTCTGGCCTCCAAATTCAGGCTTTCGTTCTATTGCTGTAGCAACGAAACAGAAGGCAGGCAGCTCTGCTCTGAATGTTGAGATCAAAGTACCACAATTTACTGTCACTTGGGCCACGTGTCCATTTCTAGACTGAGTATTGATTAAAAACTCTGATTGAATAGGCTTTTGACACGTAAGCTCCTGGTAGAGAATACCCAAAACATGTGGATTTTGGATGAAGAAGCACGATGTGAAAATCAAGAATTAATGGGGGCCGGAGAGATGGCTCAGCGGTTAAGAGCACTGACTGCTCTGCCAGAGGTCCTGAGTTCAATTCCCAGCAACCACATGGTGGCTCACAACCATGTGTAATGGGATCTGATGCCCTCTTCTGGTGTGTCTGAAGACAGCAACAGTGTACTCATGTACATAAAATAAATAAATACTAAAGAAAATCAGGAATTAGGAGAATTAAAACAGGGCTCAATAGAGGCACTTGCTGCTAAGCTCGACAACCTGAGCTTGATCCCAGGGACCCACATAGTGGGAAGAGAGAACCAAGTTTCACAACTTGTCCTCTGACCTGCACACATGCTATGGCACATGCACACCAAGCAGTGGGCACATACATAAGTGCAATTTTTAAAAAGAAAATTGAAGAGTTTCAGATCGTGAAGAAATCTTTGCAAAACACAGCAGGTAAAGGATTGCTGCCCCAAATATACACAAAACTCTGAAACCTCAGCAGCAAGGAAGAACACAGACAACCCAGCCAGCCCTAAGAGGCCCATGCCTGTTGCCCTAGCAGTCATGTGATAGAGACCAGAGGACCAAGAGGGCAAGGGTAACCTCAACTACATAGCATCTCCAAAATCAGCCTGGGCTAAGTGAGACCAGACACAAAAGACAACACAACAGTAAAAACTTAGATAACTCAATTTACAAATAAAGGAAAGGTCTCAACCTTTACTAAAGGTGGTACACAGATAGTTTGGCTGCCAATGACAAAATTCATGATCAAACAAGGGAAAGGAGGTTTGTGTGGGTTTATGGTTACAAAGGTTTCGGTCAGTCTTGGTAAGGCAAAGTGGCTCATATCGGGAAGCCAGGAGCACAGAGTGATGCTTGTGTACCTATGAGGTGTATGATGCCACATCCAGACCCACAGCTCACAGTGACAGAGACACTCACACCATGGATAGAGCTTCACTTTCCAGTTTGTCTTTTCTGTAGACATCAACACAGTCGTCCAAAGGGGTGTTTTATGAATTTCCTAGGTGTGTCTGGGTCCAATCTCAATGACAATCGAGATGACACATCACTGTGGTAGGGAAACAGCTCAGGGCATGAAGCACGTACTGCTCAAGCATCAGAACCAGGGCTCAGATGCAACCTGAGTGCAGCCAAATGCACCTGCAACCTCACAGGGCAGGGTAGGAAAGCAAGAAGACCCCACAAGCCAGTGTAGCTGAAATGTCAGGCTCCAGATTCAGTAAGAAACCTGGTCTAAACAAACAAACAAACAAGGTGGAAAGCCAGCTGTGGTGGTACATACCTTTAATTTGTGCAATCCAATGGCAGAAGCAGACACGTATCAGTGAGTTCAAGGCCAACCAGGGCTATGTAGAGAGACCCTGTCTCAAAAACAAAACAGGGTGGAGGGTAATTGAGGAAGACACACAATGTTAAGCTCTGCCATCCACATATGTGCAGTGGCATGAAAACACACACAATGTTAAACATATTAAGCACATAGAAATATGTACCATATTGTATGTCATCAGAAAATTGCAAATTAAAACAGTAAAAACCCTCCTACCACCCAGGAGAATGTTATGCCCAAGGCAACTCTCATAAAGGAAAGAAAGCATTTAATTGGGGGCTTGCAAAAAAAATGTTTTTTGAGGGCTAGTTCATTATCATCATGGTGGTACATAGACATGGCTCTGGAGCAGTACCAAGAGCTGCATATCCATAGACAACAGGCGGGGGATGGGGGGGGGGCTCAAAGGCCAAGCTCAGTGACACACTTCCTCCAACAAGGCCACACCTCCTAATCTTACCCACATAGTTTATCAACTGGGCACAAAGCATGCAAACAAATGGGCCAATGGGGCCATTCTCATTCAAACCATCATAGTCCCAAATCTGTACACCAATCTGACATCAATATTACCAAATGCTGGTGAGGACAGGAAGTGCCACAAATGCTCCTTTGTTGTGGGTGGGAACGCCAAATCACAATGCTGTTTTTGAAGATACGCTGACCTTTTTCTCACAAGAACTAAGTGCACTGAGCCTCAGTCTTGCCTCTTGGCATTAGTCCAGAAGAGGTAAAAGCATGTTAGAACGTTTGTAACAGCTCTATTCATGATGATCAGGGCGGGAATGACAACCAAAAAATATATCGGCTATTCTTTACACTGCTGTGACGAAACTGGGAACCAAAGCAGTTTAAGGAAGGAAGGGTCCATTGTCACATTTTGGGGATACAACAGACCCTGGCAGGGAAGCCATGGCAGTGGCAGCTTGAAACAGTGAGTCATGTTTTTGCATCCACAGTCAAGAAGCAGAGAGACATGAATGAC